GCGGGTGGAGCCGAGTCCCGCGGGGGAGGCGCTGCTGAAACAAGCCCCCTCCCCTCGGAGGGAAGCCGTGGGACAAAGGATCCCTCCTGGTTAAACCCGTAGGAGTTGAGGTCCCCCTCGCTAACTGGAATCCAGGGGTAGATGTGTCTTATATTGTGTAAAGCTGTGCCTGACCGTTTGTAAGACTTTTACCCTGAATGTGGATATGTTGTACGATATCTGATGGGATTGGTTTAGTTTCGTATAATTGGTTCCTAATTGGTGTGCTATCTGCTCACACCTCCCCCCACGCCCCTCCCCCTTCTTTTTTATATCCAGTTGTACTCTGCCAATGGTTCCTCTGGGTTCCCTGTAAACTAGCTGTTGACCCTAACTTACCTGGTTCACCCATCTGGGTATCACCCCTCCTCCTCACACGGGCATCCTGAGGCCTCCCCAGTTGTGCCAGGCCTCTGTAGAGTGCAGGGTTGAAAAGGCATCCCAGAGGTGGGCTGCCCATTAGGACAAGCGCTCCCAGGATGTGGTTCTGGTTCCTGGTTTACCATATTGTAAGTACTTATCTGTATACCCTTAGTGATGTTGAATGATATCATTGGAAATACTTACTGGAAGTTTTCCTTTACTTATCTGTATATATTGGATAAGAACAGGATGTCAAAGGAGGCAAGCTTTGGCTTCTGAATAGATCCAGAAGAGGCATGGGTCTCTGCATCTATTATTTGCCTGGCAAATGAGACTATGGCATCTCTTAGCTACCTAAAGGACACTCATGACTTAGAAGCAGGTGCCAATTGCCTTGATACTCTTCATTGCTCCAGCACCTGCTGGAGTGGCTTGATGCAGTTTCGTTTGGTATTGGAAGGGTGCGGGCAGTTATGATTTTGATTCCTGATTGGGTTTTTCAAATTAAAACCCTTTTGAAGCAGCTTGGGCATTTTCTGCATCTTTATCTTAAACTCTTTGGACCGATACTCTTTATTGTCTTAATGAGCGACTTGGACGAGGGAGTGAAATGTACTCTGTCCGAGTTTGCAGATGACACAAAGCTATGGGGAGAAGTGGACACGCCGGAGGGCAGGGAATAGCTGCAAGCAGACCTGGACAGGTTGGACAAGTGGGCAGAAAACAACAGAATGCAGTTCAACAAGGAGAAATGCAAAGTGCTGCACCTAGGGAGGAAAAATGTCCAGCACACCTACAGCCTAGCGAATGACCTGCTGGGTGGCAGAGAAGTGGAAAGGGATCTTGGAGTCCTAGTGGACTCCAAGATGAACATGAGTCGGCAGCGTGACGAAGCCATCATCAAGAGGGATGCGGATAGCCTGGAGAGGGTCCAGAGAAGGGCCACTCGTATGGTTAAGGGCCTACAGACCAAGCCCTACGAGGAGAGACTAGAGAAACTGGATCTATTCAGCCTCCGCAAGAGAAGGTTGAGAGGCGACCTTGTGGCTGCCTATAAGTTCATCACGGGGGCACAGAAGGGAATTGGTGAGGATTTATTCACCAAGGCGCCCCCGGGGGTTACAAGAAATAATGGCCACAAGCTAGCAGAGAGCAGATTTAGACTAGACATTAGGAAGAACTTCTTCACAGTTCGAGTGGCCAAGGTCTGGAACGGGCTTCCAAGGGAGGTGGTGCTCTCCCCTACCCTGGGGGTCTTCAAGAGGAGGTTAGATAACCATCTAGCTGGGGTCATCTAGACCCAGCACTCTTTTCTGCCTATGCAGGGGGTCGGACTCAATGACATATTGAGGTCCCTTCCGACCCTAACATCTATGAATCTATGATTTTACAACTGCATGTGCTCTGGCTCCTTTTCTCTCTGTTTGAAGGTAGATCAGGGCTCTTCTGCAGGTTTCGCAGCTCCAGCAGGTCTGTAGTATCATCATCAAGAGCTCAACATTCATGGGCCAGGCCCCTCCCCTACAAAAGAAGATGAGACTGGCTTGAGCATGAAGCTATTTTCAACCCTTGTCTTATTTTTCTTTGCATCCTCATTTCTGAGCCTTTAGGATGCACTCAGGCATGTCTGCAAGTTTTCACCACAACCAGAGGAGCTGGAAAAAAGCTGATTGTAATTTTAAACTCAGATGCTTAGGTTTTCAGGTGCTCTGGGAATCTGAAAGGCTCGGGCTTAAAAAGCATTAGAAGCAAATCTGTTCAAACTGTCTTGTGATGACCCGCAAGGGCTGGCACCTGCAGGGGCTGGAAGCAGCTCTTCACTAAGCAGCTCTTCTTTCTCCCCTTTCCAGGGCTGAATGGAGACATTGTGGTAACTCAGACCCCTGCTTCCCTGGCAGTGTCCCCAGGGGAGACAGTCACCATTCGGTGCAAACCTTCCAGCCCCGTCAGCAATGAAATGAACTTGTACTTGTTCAGACAAGGAGCAAGTCCCCAGCTCATGATCCACCATGCAACGAGCCACATCCCCGGAGTCCCTGATCGGTTCAAGGGCACACACAGCAGCACTGACCTCACCTTCATCATTCGCGGGGTGCAGGTGGAAGACGCAGGCAACTACTACTGCGGGCAGTGTCTCTAGTGGGTTATGGAATAGAGAAAATCCCACACAAGTTACTGATTCGTTTTGATGCACTGGCTGGGGGAGTAGTTAGCTGTTTGCACGATTTCACAATGATTACACACTTAATTCATACAACACAATTTTATTTTAAAACTCTTTGCTACGTATATAACACTGCTTAGCTTTAAGAAACACCACAAACATTAAAAACACAATAATTACATATATCAGAAACAATGCTCCGAATGCACTTCCTTCCCAAACAATGCTATAAGAATTAGTGTTACAAAAACAACTACAATTACAACTAAAAGTTAAATTTGAATCAATACTATTATTTTCCTGTTATACTTACAATCCTAGAATTCCGAGAAGCCAAATACCAAAATATGGTTTCATTCCTCAGTAGTACGATTTAATGGGTTGGCCTCAGTAGTATGGTTCAATGGGCTCGCCTCAGCAATACAATTCAATAGGCTGGCCTCAGCAATACAATTCAATGAGCTGGGCTCAGCAGTGATAGGACTAAGTCCCCTTCCTTCAGTCCCTTTCGGGCACTCCGCGGCTTCAGCGTGAACTAAGAGATTCGTGTTCACGGAGAGGCTTGATTAGGCGATCAATCTAATCTGAACTTATACTTGCGATTCTTCCTTCGTTGTTCTGCAAGTGAAGTCACCTCCAAATTGGGACAGTAAGTTACAGGTTTTTATTGAGTGAGCTGCCGTCATTGGGCTCCTCCTACTCAATTCATCATAACTCCCAAATTTGGGCTCGGATCTTACTCAACAGAAATTACCTTTGTTGAGCATTTTAAA